TACACACTGCCCTCCCCAGACCGTACTAGTAGAATTTTACTGATCGTTGTTGGTATAGTCGTCTTGATAATGGCCTTGAGTCCAGTTCGTGTAGTTTATTAACTAGAATTAAGAGCGCATTGTGCTAATTATAATTATTGATTCTTTAACAAGTCATTACCAGAATTGTCAACTAATTTTCAATGTTTGAAACGCGAGTACACTATGAATTGAGCAAATGTTGCTTTAAGAGTCATTAACAATTGAATTCAACATCATAAGAAATTAGTAATACTAACTACAAAGGCAAACTTCACACCAACAGTGGTAAAATATGCTATCACAGGTCACCGTTTAAAAGAATGATATGTGAAATCGAAAGCAATTATTTTATTTGGTACCAGAAAGAATAACATTCATAAAAAGACAATAAATATCCTCCGCCTGGTGGTATTAATGAAAAATATTTCACAACATTAAGTGCTGCCCGTTATAAGGAATTTGGCATTTATGGTCACTGTTACATCTTCATCAATGGCCCTCACAATTGACATTAAAGAAGGGCACGATCCTAGGACCTCGTTCCGTAGACGCAGCTATAAATAGTGAGCTTTGTTATCATTGTAAAGGACATTTGAGTCCATTACTCAAATGATCACTCAACTATCCCAAATTATCTTCTAAAGTCACTTTACTTTCGTTTGTAACAACAAAGTCACTAAACTATGCTTATTGCACTCAAAAGGTCACTCAACTAGATTTTTTAAATTTTGGGTTGCCAAATACTTATTTTACCCTGTAAATTATAAACATTTATCTACTTTTTTTTTAAAAAAAACTTTTTAATATTGTGATTTTCCATTTTTAATTTATATTATGGACTTACTTATATAATAAATAAATATTATTTATAAATTCAAAAAATACAAAGTATTTAAGCATATATAATGCTGGAATAACAAAATAATGAGCATAATAAAAAAATTAATTAGAATAATTTGTTAGTAATAATTTTAGTATTAACAACAAAAATTCAAAATTTATTTACACAATTCAAAATGAAAGAAAATAAAGGTTTTAAAAATTATATTACATGCACATAATATAAAAATAATTATTTAAATAAAGGTATTTTTATAATATACATTATATATTCTTGAAAATTATGCTCAGTTATATTATTATGCTTCTAATAATATAATATGTTAAGTCGTGCATGAAATAAATAATTATTTTTATATTACGTGCATGGAATATATATTCTACAACCTTTATTTTCTTTCATTCTGAATTGTGTAAATAAATTTTTGAATTTTTATTGTTGATATTAAAATTATTATTATAAATAAATTATTCTAATTAATTTTTTACTATGCTCATTATTTTGTTATTCCAGCATTATAGATGCTTAAATACCTTTTATTTTTTTAATTTATAAATAATATTTATTTATTCTATCGGGAAGTTCGTAATATAAATTAAAAATGAAAATTCATAATATTAAAAAGGTTTTAAAAAAGTAGATTAATGTTTATAATTTAGAGGGTAAAATTGATATTTGGCAATCCAAAATTTGAAAAATCTAGTCGAGTGACCTTCTGAGTGCAATAGGCATATTTGAGTGACTTTGTTGTTACAAACGAAAGAAAAGTGACTTTAGAAGATAATTTGAGATAGTTGAGTGACCATTTGAGTAATTGACTCCAAATTTTATGGTAAAAAATGATACTAGAATCTGCTCAAAACTCTATATAATTTTATCTTCTTGTTTTTATTCTTGTTGTTGTTGCGCCCGGAATCACTATTTCTACTATTCCATCTTTATATCAAGGCTAAGTATTACATATTTCTTCAATTACTTTATTATTTTAGGATAGCATGAGTTCACTTGTCTAGAAACCACAAATAAATTCAACTATACTGTTTTACATGTAAACAAACAATTAACTACTTTGAAATTAAAATGTCATGTATAGGTCAAGATTCTCTTCGAGCATGTCCTTCCATTGTTCAATATACAACATGGGTAATTCATTTAAGTATTATTTTTTAGCTAATTAACCTAAATAAAGTAAATTATTTTAGCAAAAAATGATATTATCGCGTTCGAGATTTCTTTTATTTTGTGAAGATTTTGGTATATCATTGCTAAAAGTATTGATCACGCCCAACTCTAGTCCTAAAAAAGATAAGCGATCGCTGCAAATATAATCCGGTCTAAAAGTCTGCAGTCGAATCCCACAGAGAATTAAGGCTTAGCTATATTTATTTAATATCACTAAAAGACAAGTTTGAACAATTTTCTAAATTATAAAGATTGAGATCTATATTTCTAACTACTTAACTAGTAAATACTATAAAGCGGTAAAATTATCAACTAACGAAACAAAGGGTTGGAGACTAAATTAAGGAGGTCTAGAATTATGATTTCCCTCAATTGTCGGAATCCTTCTAGCTATGTTCCCTACAATTTCGCCAATGTATTCTCTACTGATCGTGAGCACTTTAGGTGTCGTAATTCTCTCTCGAGCAACTACAATAATTTACTAGATATATTCTCTCGAACTACGCTAGTTGGCTTTATCTAACCGCTCATTATGACCACGTCAAGGCTTTGTTATTTCTTAAACCTGCCTTTAAACCCGTTGTATTGATTTCTCACATACGTTAAGAGTGACGTCGTTCAACAACCACCTAAATATGTATCTTTTCTCAAGCAACACATAATAAATAGGCACAGTCAATCGATGGTCATTCAATCAACTGAAATAAATATGTAGCCGAACAAATAGATAAATTCAAAGGCTAAATTATATTAAAACCTAACAAGAATTCATCCTATAAAAGGTTCTATCAAAACTCTAGATAACAAATTAGTTATTCATAATAGTATGTAAAACTACAATACTAAAAGTCATAACCAATAATGAAAATAGGAAGAAGGAAGTAAAAAACTCATAGAAGAATTTTTCGCCTTACTCCTAGTGTGTTCTTGCCTACTTAGATCGAATCTCCGGTCTCCTTGGCCTCCTTAGGTCTAAATTATGTCAAAAGTATGTCAAAGGTCCTCAAAATACCGTTTTCCATGTATATATACCAAGTAGGGTTGTGCCCAAATAATTACACCTTCTCCTATACGAAAAAGGATACTTTTCCCGGGTAGGTCCGTGGCCACGGATTGGACCATGAACCTGACCGCGGATTTTGGCCATGTTCTGACCGCGGCTGCGGATCTAACCGTGGCCGCAGATCTAACTGCGGAGCACTTATCGCGCATTTTTCACCCTGTTCTGTTTGGAATTTCGAAAAATATAAAACATGAAAGTTGTATCCCTTTGGGTTATCTTTCCAACCATATATTGTAGAGCCCTAATGGAGTTTTGAGTGAAAAGTTATGTTTATTTTACTGGACAGTGCACAATATACCTACTCGATTCTTCGTTTCGTTGCTCTATCATCCGTTGATCCCCGAATACGATCCCGGCTTAATTCCTTGGGCTTTTACTCAGACTTCAAAGCTCTAAATTACTTGAATTCATTCCATAACATCTACATAGTTCGGAATCACTCCTATAAGGCATAAAACACACAATTAGTGCAAAGCACTAGCGATTAAAGCGCAAACTCCACGAAAGTGCGGTAAATTAGAGTGTAATAATCAACTAAAATACGTAATTATAGCCTATCATCAAGTACCGTTAATATTATTTTTTTTAGTAAGAGGGAAAACCCGTAATCGCTACAATCTCTGTCATTCGAGTGAGCACTCTGCGGTGAGCACTTTGTGTCAACTGGTAAACCTCATACCGCACTATGAGGTTAATTATAGCCTATCATCAAGTACCGTTAATATTATTTTTTTTAGTAAGAGGGGAAACCCGTAATCGCTACAATCTCTGTCATTCGAGTGAGCACTCTGCGGTGAGCACTTTGTGTCAACTGGTAAACCTCATACCGCACTAGGGAAGCCCTGTGCGACCGGTTCAACCCACAAGGCATTGAGGAGGGATTCGATCCCAAGTCATCCGTATGGATAACCGTCCTCCAAACCGACTGGACAACCCCGATGGATTACCATTAATATGATTAATAGAACTAAATATGCTCATTTTACGAAAATTGACGGGGCAAAAAATGAACATGTAAAATTTGGATGGTCTAGCTGGTATGTTTTAAAGGACGACACTCTTTGCAGCTCCTGCTATTCCCTCAAGTTGTGACTATAATAGGAAAAATGTTACACATATTTTACTTTTACATTAAATCAATAAGCATATGATATGCGTCTTTTATAAGTACTTTTTATTTCTACTATGTCTAGTTAATATATACTCCCTTCGTTCCAAATTACTTATCCTATTTAGTTTTTCGAGAGTCAATTTGATAATCTTCAATGATAAATTGTAACTCAATATTTTAAAATTTAAATTTAGATATTTAAAACTATATAAAAAATACTACAAGTTACAATTTATTTCATACCAATATGATGAAAAAAATATTTCAATACATTGATCAAAGTTCATATAATTTAACACTTGAGAAGCGAAATGTGAAAGCTAATTTGAGACGGATGGAATATTATTACATCTCTATTGATAATTTAATCAATGATAATTAATATAATCTAATGTAAATACAAGTACAAGTAGGAGCGGATTTAGAGGGCATAAAGGGGTTAACCCCCTTCGCCGAAAAATTATATTGTATATATAAAACAAAATTTATTTTTTACCTTTATATATTATGTTTTGGATCCTCTTGACATTGTCCAAAAGTGTAGCTCAGTGATTAAAATAGTTCAAAATTTTTGTTATATTGGTTCAATTTCCAATGGCCACAATCTCTTTCAATTTTTTTTTCGAAACCCCTTAGAGGAAATACTGCCTCCGCCGCCGAGTAAAAGGTAAGTAATTACACTACTTATTTTTTTGCGGAGAAAGAGAAACAAATGATGGAAGTGAAAGGATAATGTACTACTACAAAATTTAAACAGCTCTTACAAATGTACACAGTACACTGAACCAGTGTCTTTCATTTGTCAATTGAAGATATCAAAGTACAAACAAATTCGTGGTCAGAATTCAGTCTCTCATTTCTACAAAACACTTCTCACCATCTTTCTTCCCAAATCCAAATTCTTGATAATCAAATCATGGCTTCTTCTTCTTCCTTTCAACTCTCAAGCCTTCAAATTCAAACCCCACCTCTAAAAAAATCCAACTTTTTTGGTCAATCTCACAACCTTAACCCTAGTAATATTCATACTAAATCAACTCTGAAACCATCTTTTACCTCAATTACTACTGCAAAATTCAATCTTTATGAGATTCTTGGAGGTAGAGGTCTTTGTAATGGAGAAGAAGGTATACAAAAAGAGCTAAAAAAGTCAGTTTCAGAAGAACAATCCTCAGCAAAATCAGCAACTGTTGATAATAATAATAATAATCAAGAAAAGATGGAAACTGGGGAATTTCCTGAAGATGGATTTGAGAAAGAAATGATGGGGTTAGTTGGTGGATTTCCTGGAGGTGAAAAAGGTTTAAAGAAATTCATAGAAAAAAATCCACCACCTAAGAAAACAGAATCAAGAATGGAGGGTTTTAATCTGAGTCTTGTGAAGAAACCAAAGCCACCTGAATTACCACTTTTATTACCTGGAATGATTGCTATTGTTAAGAATTCTAATAATCCATATTATATGTATTGTGGGATTGTGCAAAGGATTACTGATGGAAAAGCTGCTGTGCTTTTTGAAGGTGGGAATTGGGATAGATTGATTTCTTTTAGGCTTGAAGAGTTGGAAAGAAGAGAGAAAGGTCCACCAATGGTGAATCCTAGGTCTGTGATTCTTGAAACCATGTTAGAAAAGAGTTCTGAATCTTGATTTGCTGTCGAAGGGGAGCCTCTCGTAAAGTTGTTGTACTGTTGTCAGGAGGTCACGGGTTCGAGCCGTGGAAACAACTTGTTGCAGAAATGTAGGGTAAGACTGCGTACAATAGACCTTTCTGATCTGGTCCTTTTCCGGACTTTGCGCATATCGGAATCTTAGTGCACGAGCCTGCCTTTTAGTCATATCCTTTGTTTCTTTTTGTCTTTTGGTTGTTGTACATACAAGATGTAATAAGAAATGCAGAATGCTTTTGTGTAGAAAGAGTGTAATTCTATTGATTCTGGTAATATATGTTCCATTGTTGAAACTTTTTTCTTTACTTATGGCTAAAAATTCAACAGCATACACTACCTAAATAACACATGACTCAATCTAATCCATTCGACCAGTTTGGGGTTCGAATCCCGAGCAACCCACTATCACATTGAAATTTTAATTCTCTATAGAGACGTTCATGTTTTTCCAACCAAATTCATGAAAATTTTGAATAGATCTACATACACCTTGACTGACACGAGTATATAAGTGAATGACAAGCTCCCACCTTACCCTGCACCCTGCAGGGACTAGAACATGAACTACTTTTCACAATCATGAAGGAATGTCCCTGATGCCATATGGTGGATATTTCAGGTTCCATAATTTGACAACAGATGTATGTCTAACTTAAGACAATTCCAATAATATTAGCTAGCCTGAGACAGAGTAACAGGATTGCAAATTGAACCTTCAAGGCTTTGGCTTGCCTAACTGTGAGACCGACTAGTTGAATAGAGACGAAAGTGGGTTATAGTGATTCGGGAGTCTCGTGTGAAAGGGCTCTCACTCAACGGATCAAAGGTATCCAGAGATAACACGCTGATGACTCCCAAGAGCTACTATCGAGGGGTCGTTTGGCACATCCGACTTCGACTCATTACATTTTGGGGCCGATGAAGGTCCCAAGGATTCGGTTGTTCGCCAATTCAAGTGGTACGTGAGTTGGGTTTAGAACGTGGCGAGAGAGCAAAAACATGATATGTGGTTTAAGCACACATCACGTATTTGAACCATGTTGAAGAAAAAAGCTTGGTATGCAAGTGGAGAAGGGTAGAACGGTGTGCCAATATCTATAGAGTTTCTGGCCCTCGAAATTAGCAAAAGAAAAATGTGCATGACTTTATTGGGTTGATATCTCTCTATGTATGATTTTTGAAAGAAAGAACTTTAATCAATACAAAAAGTGTATGACTCTATTGGGTTGATATCTTAAACATCGTCTTCTTGATTCATTGCATTTCTCGTTTTAAACTTTCATACGGTTCAAATTAGCTCACGAAGGGTTTCTAATTATTTTTTATTCACTTGCTTTAACCCCTTTTCCTTTATGGAAACAACCATTAAAACAACAATAACAACAACCCATTAAAATCCCACCAGTGGGGTCTGGGGAGGGTACATCCCTACTGTTAAAACGGGCAGGCGATTTTCCCGGTAAACAGCCACCCAATTGTGAAAACTGAAAAAAGAGTCAAAGGGGCGGTTATTGGGAGTTTTGCATAAAACTATCTCATGAACAAAATGTTCGGATTGAATTTATCAAATATGGCATGGGAATCCTCGTATAACCAGGTCAAGAGTCAAATTTTTACTTTTAATCGCGAATTTGGATATATAATTTTAATTTCTTTTAAAAAAAATTTACATATTTGAAAATTATGTACTATAAGTCACAATAGTTAACAACAACTTAAAATATTTAAAAGCCATGCATAAGAAAAAGTTACTATAAGAAAAAAGTTGTCTGACCCTCAAGATTAAAAATGAATTAAATTAATGGGACAAAGGATATATATATATATATAAGACCATAAATAGTTAGATGGAAAGATTGAGTCCCCCAATCCCCATGCATGCAACGTCTTCCAAGCAAAACGATGAGTAGAGGCGGAACTAAAATTTTTAGTTTATGAGTTACGTTGGACCATAATCCTTTTTGCTTGTTGAGTTCTACATAGACTATTGTACTATTCAATAATTTTTTAATTAATACAGAATTTGAGCCAAAGTTATTAGATTATGTCAAACCCGTAACTATAATACTGGCTCCGCTGCAGACGACGAGCCTGTAAAGATGAAAATCTCAAATTTCAGAGGTTCTTATCTGTATCTACAAAGTGGCAAAAACATTTTAGTATAGGTTTATAAAACTGAAGAAAATACAACAACCTTATTGATTTATAAAATATTAAAAATATTAGCTATGATTTATGGGTGATTATCGTCTCAAAAGGTTCATATATTAAAAAAATGGCAAGAAAATGATAAGCTTTTTCTATTTTAGTTACTACCACGAGAAATGCACATACACGAAAACTAGCTAATACTCCCTCAGTATTAATTTATGTTATGTAGTTTGACTGACATAGGTGGAGTTCAAGAAAAAGGAACAACTTCTAAGATATCTTATGGCATCAATTATACATGAAATTTTTGTATCTACAAAAGTATGTCATTAAGGATAAAATAGAAAATTTCTTTAAATGAAGTGGATCCTCGGCTTGAAAATATTAAATAGACTAATTTAACGGGCTTTTACCTATATATGTAAAAGTATAATCCTAATTACTGCTATTAAGTATTAACAAGGTTTTTATTTAATTAACATAAATGTATTTACCAATTGTATACAAAGTAAGAGATTATGTTTCAACCTTCCCTATTTTCTCTCCCTAATCTAATTTTCCAGTTGATTCAACTTCTAAAGTTAATTTATGCAGCTTTAAAGTAATAAAATGTATTTAATGTTAGCTCTAATTCAAAATTAAAGCGTAAACAATGGATATTTGGTATTTGAAATTCGCGTGGAACGTAAAAAATCGTTTTTTTTGTGGTTGCAACCGTGTTGTTAATACTGAACTACCAACTTTGGCTATTTTAAGAAAACTACGAGCCCGTTTGGATTAGCTGATTTGAAGTAGCTGATAAACATTAGGTGCTGAAAAAAATTGTTAAGTGCTGAAACTGATTTAATAAATAAGCAGTTACGTGTTTGGGTACAAGTGCTGAAATTGATAATGTTTGTTGCAGTATTTAATAAAAAAGTGTTGATAAGCTCCTTTTCTGTTAAAATGACTTAAATAACCTTAGAATTGTTTACACTTATAAGGGCGTAATTTCTTCAAAATTTTAGATTCCAGATCGATTCAAATACAAAATATTCTATTTGTCATTTTATTTTAAATACAATTGTACTTAGATAAGATAATTTTTATGATAAATATAATTTATTTTATGATAAGCGTATAGTCATAAGTTATAATAATAATAAATAGACAAAAGTTTCTCAGTAAAAAATAAACCTAAATAGGACAAATTATTTGAAGAGAAATAAACATTGTCTTCATCACTACAACACTTAGAAAGCAATACACCAAAAGTTTGATATATCCTCATTTATTACATACAGTTCAAAGATTAATACACAATCACATATATATATAAGTATGCAAAGGAATAAAGAATTTGCTTATCTTAAATAATCAATGAGAATTGCAGACTTGAAACGGTTGGGGGAGGAGGGGGTGGGGGGGGACAGTGAGTATCAATGTAGGAGCTTTGTTCTAAAAAGAAATATTTTAAGGATAAAAAAGTAAAAATCTTGGTCAAGTTTAAAGTGCTTATAAGGTAAAAATTCATAAGCTAGGGGTGACCACCTTATGGCTGTCACACCTCCTTTTTCCGCCCCCGCGGGGGGCGTAGGGAGTTTTCTCCAATTAAAGGAC